CACCTACTACTTTAATTGCCCTCAACAGACTATTATAAACAAGATTCCCCGATGATAATGCTTATTATTCAACTGCCTCATAACATGTTTCTAAACTAAGCAAATCAAGTCTTCTTAACATTCTGTTATCAAGACTGTGGACAGGAAAAGTTAATGAATATATATTTAATTTTTACATACAGGTGTGTGAATGAGGGAGATGAGATATAATTCAGCCAACCAAACTTTTTATACAAAGCAAAACCAGATTTCATATAAATTACCCACATGAAGAGTTCTGCTGCCATTTGCAAATGAAACCTTGACTTCTCATCCTTTATTACTGATGAGTCGTGCTCTTTTCCAGGAGAAAATTCAATGTTCCCCAAATGTAAAATTGCAGCTAATGTGCGAAATATGGCTTCCTGTTGATAAGAATGTAGGATAGCCATAAGTAAAACACAGGCCATCAACAGTTTTATCCAGTAAAACAAAAGCAACACAAATAGGTAATAATGGATGATCTTATTACACCTGATCCTCGTGCCTTATACCAACTATATCCATTGCCCTCCTTGTCTTCGTGTATTCTTCAGCACTGCTTATTCCATCCAATTCATATGTTTTACTTTGATTTAAATAGTGGAAGTGACTTGGATGCCCTAACTTGTACTTCTCAGCATCCTGAAAAACAGTGCCGTACAATCATAAGGCAAAACTCTTTAAGCTTTAACTGAGATCCCCCATTAAAAAAAAAAAACGGTAACATGCATGGCAAAATGCTGAAGCACAAGAACTGAAGGGAAGAACAAATAGATGCAACATCAGACTTTGAGTACCCTTTCAGATGAACACAACTGATAAAAGCAGTGATAGTTTCTTTCAGGATCTGTTATCTGCACTACTCGTGACCTTTCCAGTAAGTAAGTTCGAATAGCAGCACCGGATATTCTACCATCTGAATCAAACTGAATTTCAACAAATTTCCCAAAGCGGCTGCAATGGAAAAAACATAGTAACAGTTTAAGCCAAGAAGAGGAACATAACAAAGATCGTTTCAATGGAAATGCTTGACACAGCAACATCAATTTGTTTTTACTGAATGCAACACCAAACCTGTGGTTCGAGACATACATTTCATTCAAATATGACCAATAGCAATGATAGTTTCAATGGAAGAGCATTACAGACATGACTAAAGTATGTCATTACTATGTATGGCATGTTTTAGATAATATGAGATAACGCTATAAAATGTCAAAAAAGTATACAATTTTTTCCTCAGGTTCTATGGAGTAAAACCAATAACCTATTAAGTAACAAAACAAGAAAACCCACATAAAAGGAAACAAGTACAGTGGAAATAAATAAGCAAGCAAGAAAAGGAGTCAGATCCACCTTGAATTGTCATTCCTGACAGTCCTTGCATTACCAAAAGCCTCCAAGAGAGGGTTGGACTGAATGCATCAGAAAGTCAAATTAGTAACTAAAACACCAGATCAAAAGTAATTAGATGGTCAGCTCATAATTGATTGGATTCATTACTATCATACTTCAAGAACTTGTTGCTCAACTGTCCTATCATCACCAGCAGCACGTCCACCAACAAAGGTAAGATACTGCATAATCAATTTTGTTGTCTCAGTTTTTCCTGCACCACTTTCACCACTGACCAAAATAGACTGGCTTTGACCTTCATCCATCATTGCTCTAGATCATGACCAACAGAAGCTCACTAATTCACATTTCACAACATGAAATAGGGCATGGAAAGAATAATAAAAATAAAAATAAATAAATATGTCGCAATAAAACATATAATACAAGCACTTAAATGCACACTAACCTATAAGAAGTATCAGCAACAGCAAACACATGTGGACTGAGTTCACCAAATGGAGCTCCTTTATACTGCTCCATCATATGAATTTCATACAGATGAGGAAGCTTTGTGAATGGATTTACAGCTATCAAAATGCTCCCTGTATATGTCTACCAAAGACAAGCATTTCAGGAGAAAATCATAAAACGGCATAGAACATGCAGGAACCAATTTAAGAATCCAATTAAAATACAGCAAGACAATCCAAAAACTTTTATATTCACGTATTATTATTTATGACAACCACATGTCCCATACTATGCTAGCCCAACTGACCTAATTGGTTACATGGAATCGCCATAAATGAAACTGAAGCATGAAACACTGAGGATTATTTATTAATTTATTCAGTTGAATAAGATTTGTCAGCCAGGAAAAGTTATTAATTCTTCATTCACATGGGCCTTAACAGTAGTCAAAAATACATATCAAATAATCTTTTTAAGTGACAAGATTTAAATTGCTAGTGGGCTCATTCAGCAATATGAATTTGTGCAAGTAACTTGATAATCTCAACTATCATGAAAAATAAGATACAAGACATTTAACTAGAAAATAACAATTAAATAAAAAAGAAATCTCAATTTATTTTGGACTTCTCATTTTCCTGACTTCTCTCATGTGGTAAGTTGGGCAGCAAATAATATATAGTTCACCAATTCCAAATGCCCCGCTTGGTTCCCAAAGCACAATTATTTTAATTTCAAGCTTACAACCATTTTTTAGTTTCTTCCAGTCTCATGTAGCGGATTAAATTCCACAAGCACATGTATCTTCTTTCAGAAAATATTGACAAAGTTCAATTACAAACATCGTTCTCGTGAAAATGCCTATGGCCAAGCTTGATTGACCATGAGTGTTGAAGTAATAAAGCACTACAAATAACTAACAGCAGGGATCGATCATCATGTAGCAGACTCACATATATATCATTCAGGGCGTATCTTCTTTGAAGATTATACAAAACTCCCGGCTCATTCAAGTAAGCCAACCTCGTCATATCTTCCACTCCCCCATGCTCCTCTTCATCTGCATCCCTGGGTAAGAGTTTATCTTGTAGTGCAGAAACCTACACACCACACCTTCCAAAACCAGTAAGTTGAAATGTATCCGTAATTATTCATTATTACACAAACACCACATTAACCAGGCATGTAACGCAGGAGGGAAAAACAAACTCATCACCTTCTTCCCAGAAGCGGTGACAAGTTGGACTTGCTTTCCAGCAAAGCCGGTGACCTCAGCAGCCACCCATGCCAAATCCCTGTCTTCAACCCAAACTTTGGACCCACAACGGAAATTCATCTTGCGTTCCGGTAACAAAAAATGAGCGGGGACCCAAACAATTTAGGTATTGAATAGCTAGTAACAGAGAGAAGAGACGAGGAATTCAAAATTGAAAAACCCTAGAGAAAGAGAGGGGTGAGCAAGAGTTGAGGTGAAATTTTGGGTTCCCGCCTTACAAGAAGGTAGAGTAAGAATCAAAAATGGCGAGAGAGCATTTATTTCGTATTGGACACGTCACCACGGTACTCACTACTCACCGTGGGATTCCCTTGTTCGCGACTGTTACTCCATTTCACACAGCCTTTGTTTGACTAGCTTGGGAGCGCATGAACCCATTCAGATTCCCTTACCTTACCCCGCTCCCCAGAATTAACGTTACAAATTACTCGTACAATGTCGTAACGGACGCAAATTATTTTTTTTAATCATATTTCCAAATTTTATTTACTGAACGCGTTAAATTTAAATCTCTGATTTGGTAAAAAAACTCTAACTAAACCAGGTTAATATTTTCTAGTATGTTTTAAAATTTGTTTTAATTACAATTATAACGAGAGCAGCTTAAATTTCAAACAAAATATTATATAACTAGACATGCGCGTTGAAATTACGCTTTAGACCATATCTTTTCTTCTTCCCTTTTATTTCCAACCACAAATTAGTTGCAAGATGCGCTAATAGACCACGGATTATGATTCAATAACTATATTTATTATAAGTATTGAGTGTCTATATTATTTGAGTGTTAAAATTTAGATTAATGGTTGAATTTTAATGGCACAGACAATCTATATATTAAATATAATCATTGAATTTAAATCCAACAAACTTCATATTCAAAATAAAACAATTACTTTAAAATTTTAATATAATACCAGCCATGAAGGTATGCAAATGCGTACGCGAATGCACCAGGAGACAAAGGATGCTAAAATCAGCGTCTCCGTCACGTCTTGGACGCCCTCTTGGAGCACCATTCATGGTTTGAGGACAGATGGACGACTACCGTCAGTTCATCATTTTGGAGTTCAGTTTCCGCAATTTCGTAAATTTCATTTCACGGTTCGCCTGCTTTCTAAGCAGATGGCTAAAATACTAAGCCAACTATTATTGCTCGTTACGTCCATTGTTACGGTGCTTCATCTTGATACTACAGGAGCTTGCCTTCTCAGCAGTCCAATCACAAAATTTACTTGCAAGCAATAAAAGTACAAGAAGATGATTTCTGCACAGCAAGTTTATACCTCTCGGTTGCTCCAAGTTACATACAGTAACTGATGCTTGCATGTTTTTCACTTTCCACTTTCCTACGACTCTCGTATTTTTATTTTTCCTTTTCACTTGGGTTTGATCTATAAGCATGATTCCTCAATTCTCTCAAGGTCATTATTTCCTGGTCTGAGAAATCGCCTCTTGCAGGCAGGCATGGGTAGATCAACAAGCTGAGAAACCTTCACGGATATGTGTATTTAATGTTTAAGAGGCTTACATTTCCCAAAATAGATCTCTAAGCTGCAGATTAATTAGTTTTCATGAAATTCACCTTTGTTTGGTTAAGTTTCGGTGGTTGGTAGAAGTCACATGATAAATGCCTACTGATCCGACTAATATATAATTGTTCCACCTGTGTCAGTGAATCAAAATCCATAAAGAAATTCTGGTATTATTATTTTTATTTTAAAAAATGCAGAGACTATCTTGAAACACGAGTAAATAATAATGAATATTCACAGTTGGTTAATGAGGTTAATACCCCTTAAATAATGTTTCGAGTTCCAACCTTATAAATGGAAAAAAACTACACCAAGAGAAAGTCCCCTAGGGTGGTGAAGATCTGCAGACAAGTGAATGATGTGGCAAATGCAAATTTCATTTTCATATGTAATCAAGAGATAACGTGAAACAATTTGTACGCCCCACCCCCCCTTCTTGGTCTTCATTCAAATACAAATCCAAGGACAACAAACAGAAAGTACAAATAGGGAATCTACAGAGAAAAAATTTAAATCAAAGTAAATTTTTTAGGAGAGAAAATAAGTCAAATTTCAGTTACAGTGCAATCACAAAGCCAAAGCAAAACTCAAAGCAACCAGAGTTGTAGGGGAAAATAGCCATATGCCACCACGCTGAGGCCAATCATAAGCACCACTGCACACATCATTAGCTCCGCTGAAGCAGCCAGGTTTTGTTATTTTAGCCACACCGTCCTCAAACACAAAGGTGCTATTAGGTTGTTTACCATTGCTGAATAACACGCACCAGAAGTAAGGAGATCCTCCATCAGTACCCGTCACAGCAGCTCCCAGTTGAGTGTGATTCTTACTGTAAAGTATATCCAAGCTCCTCTGGTTTTTTATCAGGATCTCTGAAAATGCCTCTGGTGCGTGCACGTATTTAGTCTGGCAGCCCAGGAAACGACCAGTGATAGTGGCAAGTGTTGATGCCTTAACACCACATTTAGGGGCGAAAGTTTCAGCAAATTGAGATTCAGGAGGCTTCTTTGCATCAGCTCCTCCCACTGCACCACAATCACCCTGGTATGCCTTTATGTATTGTAGGGCAATACAGGCAAGCCCCGGGTTGTCATACAAGCTTGAGACCCTGTGTGCAGTTCTGTTTTCATTGATTGCAGCAACCAACTTGTCCGCTGGGTTATCAGTAACTCTAACTGCAAAGTTCAGTTATGTCAAAATGGAGATTAAAAGAAACACAGAAAGAACTATAAGTGGCAATAATCTGATATAAATCACAACTCCAAGCACCCAGAAAGCCATAATTGAAAAGCGTCAATTCCCCTCAGTTCTCCTTTTAAATAGATCATACAGCTGATGGAGTTAACTTATCAAGTTTTAAAAAAAAATACAGTTAAAAGGTTGTATGACAAGAATCTGTTTAATATACAACCACAAACACAAACAAGCAAGTAGTGAAACATAAAAATGTGCAACTTTAGTTTCAATTTATGACTAGCTCAAGGGTGAAAAATCACTGAATGACTTCAATTAACAAAATAAGCTACCTGATTAACATAGGTTTTACTTTGAAGAGACTAAGAAAAATGTTGCAAAGAAGCAGCTAATGTTTCCCTTCTTTTCTTCTTTCTTCGCTTTACCATCCCTGGCCCTCATAATTTTTGTAGGGAATATAAACAAGCCAAACTGAGCTAATACGAATATGTTGGGTGGGGTTGGCTAATTTATGAAATGAGCTTGAACTTGCCCTCATGTTTGACTCGCTAAATAAAGCAGCCTAACAAATGCTTGGATTTCTGCTCGTTAAGTAGAGTGAGCTTGTACAGATGAGATCAGTCATTTGCACAACTACACCACTTACCAATTTAGAGATTTAAATGAGCTTGAACTCTTCATCATGTAACTTTCATTTACTCAAGTTTACGGTCATATTCTATATAAATACATATCTAGCATAGTATATTAATTGGCAAAAATGGTGCAAGTATATAAATAGACGGTTATTTATTTATAAATCAATCAAGCGAAGTCAAGCTAAAATGAGCTAAGCCTGAATAACTTGTTCAGTGCTCATCTCAACCACAGCTCATATACTCTTCCATTCAACACCTGCCAAGTCGGAGCTCCAACAATCAAATCATCTGTAGTAAGTTCATGGATTCTCAGGGTCCATTACAAAAGCTAGATATTTCTTTATCCGCAATTATGATCTCCAACTCTAGACCAACAGTAAATCCCAATCCTAAAGTCCTAGTCATGCGTCTATGTAGAACAAAGTAGCGCAAATAGTCACTATAAATAAAATTCCGATGATATTGGCTCAAGCATTGCCGTCCAAAATCAGGTATAGTCCATGGAAGAAAAGAAAAATAGATTTATGTAGGAACATTGGAGGATCCAAAGGGCAGGACGTGTAGGAAGTATAAGGATCTTGGTACCTTACTCCAAGGAAAGTCAGAATTTAAAATGAAGTTAACTCGATTAGTTCCCCAAGAACTACATGAAATCCTATTTCTTCACTCGAACTACGAACACTTAATAAAGAGCAAGAGGACTGCTTAATCAAAATAAATTGGGGAAAGAAATGCGTTAGCTCCTAAATTGAAAGCTGAAAATGGATTGTTCGTGTTGCACACACAAAAGAAAGGCCGACCACCGATACTTAGATCAGATGCTATGAGAGTTCACACGAGATCCAAAACGAAGGCCCAGGAAATGCACTCAAATCCATGCTAGAGTAAGAGAATGGCCTCCAAGCAGATTCTGGGCAAAACCTAAATACCCCCCCCCAAATTCCAGAGAAATAGAGAGCTAATAAATTTTTAAGCTGATATCATTTGTTGTCTGGTTAAGCATGGCAAAGATCTGAACTATGTTTGGCTCGAAAACACGGTCACGATAAGACCACAATGGGAAAGGATTCAAAGAAGTCTACTTGTTTGCTTTTGTCCACTTTTCCACCTCGATATTATAAGTTTAAGATCCAATGCGTTCGGATTTCTCTGCGATCAATTTCTTCAGGAACAACGAGCAACAGGAATAGTGAAATATCTTGAAAGAAATAAATTTCGCAGGGAGATCAACCGCACAGAAAATTTATCTAATTGGGATGTAGCAAGAGAACAGCTCCAACATCAAATACTAGCATGATGATGTCTCATTTCACACCAACCACTGATAAACGCAACCATGAGTGAAGAGCTACATTTGAAAGTATTAAAAGACAGATCTAAGAAAAAAGGAAAGGATCTTTGAGGCATTCGCAAGCAGAAGCAAAACAAACGAATAGTACCGATTGGCGAACAGAAAGTAAATGTTGACTTACTTTGAGAGTTGAGAGCATCTGTAGCAGCTGCATGAAGGAAAACGAGGAAGGCTAATGAAGACCACACAGTTATCGCCATTGTGAAGACTGAGAACAGAGACAGGAGTAGGGGAAGGAGGGTAGAGAGAAGAGAATGGAGAGTGAGCGATGCGTCAACCTCAACCGGGTTGTCTTGTAGGATAAAGTACGGGGAAGTTGCACCAACCGAGGTCCGGGTCCGTGTAGCGGCAGTACTGCCGCGTCGTCCATGTGGTAGAAGTTACCCTGTCTAGAGCGTTCTTTTGATACGCAGAGTTAATCTGCTAAGAATTCTTTTAGAAGATGTTATGACAATGAACGAAAATATCAACTATAATTTTTTATGTTATTAGCAAATTATATATTTATCTTCACGACAAAGAACATCAAATTGAAGATCATATAAGGAGCATGCAGTATGAAAGTGAATGAGAAAGGCATGAAAATTTTCCTTTTAATCTGTTCTTTTTCTTATTATAGTGATATTTTACAAAACTAGAGATCATTAAAACAAAATTAATAAATTATCCCTCACTTGCATTTTTCCCCTCACCACATGTCAATTTAACAAGACGTTCCTGGCCGTGGGAGGCAGCGACCAGTGAAGGTCGAACTACCACCTCATTGATATCCCACCGACAGAGGAAGACGGGTCGGATCTCCTGTCGGGCATGATCTCGCAGCATTGCTAGAAGCCATGCAACGTGTGCTTCTTGCATACCCTTAGTAGATACATGAGTGCATCGCATATGAAATTATGTAAATCCGCCTATCTATAATTTATATTTATAAATATTACAAATTTCTATAAATATAGTGATGATGATAATTCTTCCGTTTTCTAACATAGGTGTATTTTAATCAACTCACACAATTTTAAAAAAATTACATTATGATAATGATTATATCTAAAATTAAAATATTTGAATTTAAATGCCCTTATAATTAATATTTACATTTTCTAATTTTAATGATATTATTCATTTATGGGGGCAAATTTAAAAAATTGTACTCCTCCCTTTAAAAATATAAGAAAAGGATAGTTTATAAGGAGAATTTCAGTAAAAATTTTCAAAATCAAATTAATAGTATGCGGAGCCCAAATTATTTTAAAATACTTATAGAGGCTCAAAGGCTTAGATTTCAATTAATTTTGTTGGTTTAATTATCAAAACACCCTTACCTTTTATTAAAAAAAAAGGGTGTCCTAAACAGCCTGGTCAACAATCAATCAAGTGTGCTAAGAGACTAAGGGTAAATTTAAACCATTAACCTCTTGATTCTCCAAAATAAAGGAAACCATTGAGCCAACAAACATTTTAATGTATGTAGTGCAAAATTATATCTATATATATATATATATATATATTTTTATAACTCTTATTTTCAAGTATTTTTAACTATTGTTGCCTATCCTAGATATCTTATGTATATATGAACATTCACTTGTACATATTCAAACATAATTTGTTTATATATAAAACAATAGCTGTCAATTTTTTAAAACTCAATTTTTCCTATTTTCCACAACTTGTTCCTTCAATATTAACAAATTATTAATATTGTGTTAAATAACAAAGTATATATTATAAATTTATTTTCAAATTGTTTTCATGGGCTTTTATTAATCATGGACATCTTATTATATATATATATATATATGAAAAATTACTTATACATATTTGAACATTACTTGTTCATATATAAAAAAAGTTGTCAATTTTTTAGAACCCAATTTGTTCTATTTATAGCATCCATATATATATATATACATGTATATATATATATATATATACATGTATGTATATATATATATATACATGTGTATATATATATATATATATATTTCTTATTTAGCATAATCTTGGTAACTTGTTTACATTAAAAGAATAAGTTGTGAAAAATAAAATAAATTGGGTTTCAAAAAATTAACAAACTTTTTTATGTATGAAGAAGTGATATTCAAATATGTATAAGCGATTGTTCATATATACACAACAAAATTTTCATGATTAAGAAAAGCCTGTGAAAATACTTAAAAAATAAATTTATAAAATATACTTTTTTATTTAAGATGATATTGATAACTTGTTAACATTAAAGGAACAAGTTGTGAAAAATACAAGAAATTGGGTTTCACAAAATTGACTACTTTTTTCATGCATCAATAAATAATATTCAAATATATATAAGTGATTGTTCATACATATACAACAAGATGTCCATAATTAAGAAAAGCCCGTGAAAAAACTTGAAAAATAAATTTATAACAAATTTTTTATTTAGCATAATATTGATAACTTGTTAATATTGAAGGAACAAGTTGTGAAAAAATAGAATAAATTGGGTTTCAAATAAAATAAATTTTTTTATGTATAGACAAGTAATGATCGAATGTGTACAAATGATTGTTCATATATACACAAAATACATTTATGATTAAGAAAAGCTTGTGAAAATATTTAAAAAATAAATTTATAACACAATTTTTTATTCAACATAATACTCATAACTTGTTAACATTGAAGAAACAAGTTGTGAAAAATAGAATAAATTAGATTTTCAAAATTTGACTTTTTTTTTTACGCATGAACAAGTGATGTTCAAACATATACAAATATTTGTTCTCATATACACAATAAAATGTCCATGATTAACAAAAGCCAGTGAAAAAGTTTATACTTTTTTATTTAACATAATATTAATAACTTGTTAATATTGAAGGAATAAGTCATAAAAAAAAATACATTAGGTTTTAAAAAATTGATAACTTCTTTTAATTATGAACAAGTGATGTTCGAATATAAATAAATGTTCATATATACATAAGAAGATGTCCTGAACATGCAACACCAGGTAAAAATACTTGAAAACGAAACTTATAATATATATGTATGTATGTATGTATGTATGTATGTATGTATGTACAATTGTACATTATATATACTGAAGCGCTTATTGGTTCAATGGCTCCCTTCATTTTGAGAAACTAAATGATTAAGGATTTAAATACACCCTTAGCCCCTGGCAAATTTGAGTGGTCGTTAACCACCACGCCGGCACTGAAGCTCTAACGAGATTAATTGCAATTTGAACACCCGGGCTTGCAAATGCATTTCAAAATGATTTGGCCCTGCATGCTGTTAATTTAAGTTTGAGGGCTCTCATTGAGATTCTCCTTTGTTCCTATTGCATTTGAAAACCGGAGTAAAATAAGAACTGTTACATTAACAATTTCATTGCACGTACACACACCTAAAAAACTAGAACCAAAATGGCATAGTTAAAATACCTTCCACAATACTGCTCTAAAATTAAACCTCACCCTTGAAAAACAAATCGAGGATATCTTTTTCTAACGATACATATAATGTCAAGAAAATCAATTATACTTCCCAAAAAAGGTGTTACCATTTAACTGATTCTCTTGCAAGATCAACGTAATTTATTCAAATATAAGTGCCACCAATGAACATAACCTACTTACAGTTACCAAATACACTTCTTGCATACCAATTCATATTTTTCCGACCCAGTCATTATATACAGCCGCCCCCAGGGCTATTTGTAATTAAATTTTAACTACCAAATATTTCCTATAAAATAGTCTGGTAGTATTACTTCATTCGAACTGAGTACCTGAAAAGGCTACGGGGGGCATTTTTGTTCAGAAAAAAGGCCAGGCCTGCTTGAGGATGTGGATACCACAAGGATCATCAAAATTGACGACGTTAGGATTTACAAGAGTAATTACTAGAACTCTAGAAGAAAGATGCTGTGATACATAAATATAGTTACACAATCTATAAGCCAAACATAAACAATCGAGTCGTTTACAATTTACAATACATGGACATCACCAAATCTACCAGGAGTGCCTTTAACTCAAAGCAAGTTGACACGGCAAACATTTTTTATGCAAGATCGAAATCATGAAGTTGACAAGCTGCTAAATATACGCCTCAAACTGGAACATGATGCTCTTAATCTGCCCATGTTCATTGAGCTTATCTGCGGGGTAAAGCAAAACCACATTAATTTGAGGACAATAAAACCGAAGTGAAAGATCAAATCCGGCGCTGTGGAATAAAAGATTCGTTAGCCGCCCAAGATTACTTAGCATCAGACCACAAAGTACTGATGGAATAGAATAAGAAAGGAAGTTAATTGAATTCTCACCCTTTGACAATACCGAACATCAAGAGTTTCTAGCATGCTGCATTTGGATATAGCAGCTTCAATGGCTTCCTCGTCGATGTTGCAGGACTGAAAACACCACATAGTTCCCCCGCCCAACAGACAAAATTGAAGGGAAAAAATGTCAGGCTTCAATCTAGAACCCAAAAAAAAAAAAAAGCAGGGGCACTCACTAACATTGAGATGTGTGCTATCCACACATGTAAAAGAGACCACAAATATCAAAGGGTGAATTGCAAAACCAAATTAATGATCGGCAATATCCATAGGTTAATAAAAATTCAGATGCTGCATTTCTGAGGAAGGACAAAATGCCAATAGCACAACTTTAAAAAAAAAAAATGTCACAAACATGAACAATCCACAAAAGAAATCACTCACATTCCTGTAAAACTTAACAGGTGCCCGACAATTCAAAGAGCATGGAGCAAGCTTATGACAAATTCCATGATAAAGGTGGGAAATTTTACATGCCCAACTTTAGTATAAATTTCACTATGGAAGATGACACCCAATAACAGCAGTAATGAGAAAAAAGAAATAAGCATAATCCTCTATATATTTAAAAAAACTATCTAGAAGAATAATAAGATATGAGACCAAAAGCAACAAATTTTACATGGACATTCAACTAAAATATAAAATTATATATGCATCAATAAATTAACATGGGAAAGCAAGACTAATACCTGAAGAAATAGACTGCTTAATCTTGGACACTCTAGCTTCAAAGTTTCCAAAGACGAACAATTGCTGAATAGAGAAGTTAAAAGTCATCGCATGTGATACGAGGAGAATACAACCATTTGACATTTGTTAGGCAGCCATACCTTAAATTGAGAAAGCATAGGTTGAGACAAACAATATCAACCTCCTTCAAGTTTAATGACAAAGATAGGTTTAAATATAATAAATGATAACAATGTGCCAAAGGTGGAATAAGAACTTTCCTAATATTTGAACATCCCACACAATTGAGGTTCTGCAGTAAACGGCCGGGCTGCTCACATGGCTCATGGACATCCTCATGGGAGATCATATT